CTATTAACTCGGGAATCACGGAAAGATATTCATCTTTCAAGGTTTCGAATTCAGCTTTCATGCGCTTGTGCGTGAAATTTTTAACTGTTTTTCAATGTCTGAACTATTTTTACGTAGACTAAAGTATACAAAGCAGTGAAAATCATTAATAGGCAATCGTTCGATGGGCTGAATTGCACAAAACGCATGATCGCACCAGCTAGTCTGGTGCGTGTTGCTATTTATATATTTTGGAGCCGAAACGGGGATGCGTAGCAATTATGCTTTTTTTAAAGTTATTTTTATTTTTTACCTTTTATTTTCAATATTTTATGCCATTACATTATCGTTTCTACTTCTCAGCACCATTATCTTCTATCATTTAGTACCATTATCTTCTACCATTGATAGTATCGCCAGCGAGTGGGTTCTTTTGTTGGTATCTTAAATCTGTTCGGTTCTCTCTCTCCCAGTCCAGGACGAAAATAAACTTTTTGCGTTGGCCATCATCTGTTAGCGCGATAAACTATTTGACAACATTATTGATAATGACACATGAAATGCTGCATCGAACTTCTTTTCGAGAACGATTCTCTGGGCGAAATCTGACGTTCCAATGTGCTTTGCATGCTAACTTTAATAGCGCGTTTGCAGGAATGGATTTTACTGGCAAATTACTGACTCAACTGACCATCATCATACTGACCGCATCATTACTGCTTTCTGCGAGCACCTCACAACAGAAAGGTCTAGTTTTTTCAGACAGATTCATTTCGAAAATTTCCTCATTGCCATTATCGTATGCCTGGAAAAGTGCATTTGGGAACTACCAGCAGGAGGAGGCTTATTTCAAGGTTTCATCCTCAATTTCTGAACCAGCCGGGAAGAATTTGGCTGGTCAGGCGGCACAGTGAGTTCTCCGAAGACGAATTAGAGAAATTTTTCTGTTTGGAGCTTCGCGAAATAAGCTGTTAAGCAGACGAAAATTCGCTCGTTATACTTTGATTTATCTGTTCCGACTATGTGGATCAGTTTTTCTTGGGCTACAACAGTATTTTGGTATTTATTGGGAGCTGGCCATGAAAGAGTTTTCTTTTTTTATTACTTTTGAAATCTGTTGGGAAATCAGAGAGAGAGAAAGGTTTTCCCGATGTATGAGTTCTGTGCTTTTGATGCTCACCGTACTTCATTCCTTGTTAATTGACCAAAAATTTCTTTGGTGGTGTAACAACTGCTTATTTGTTTCCAAAATTTCAGAAACGGAACATATCGCATGCCATGACTGTTTGAGTAACAATCCATCCTGCAAGGATATATGCCATGGGAAATACTGCTACAAGGCGGAATTCATCGCCGATGGTATGTTCATTTTTCCTATTTTTTCTCCATGAACGACGTGAAAAGGAAACTGAGTTATTTGGTGAATTTGCTTGCACATATCCCCTTATCGTTGAAATTGTAAAGCGCAATCCCGTCAAACGGTGAAAATTATTAACCTCAACAACTCACAGGTCGTCAGGAATAGGACCAGGGATGGTCATTCCCATAAAACAACGTAGAGATGTAAAGACGATGTTTGGATTATCACATTTATAGAAAATGAAAAGTATAAAGCGAAAGAGATAGAATTTTTTCAAGTTATAGTTCAGATCCTTTCATATGGTTTTTTTCAGTTTTTCTTTGTATGTTTTAGGTGTTACAACCATCAAACGTGGTTGTCTCAATCAAACAGATGATGGTTTTCCGGTTCGCGGATGTGATGAAGCACCATCCGATTTACCTGGTTCCGATGTGAAAGCTACTGAAAGGATGTGTATTTGTCAATCAGATCGGTGTAATAACGCTGCTCACTTGTCTTTTACATCTGTTGTATTAGGTTTATCTGCTCTGTCTAGATTTTTAAGCGCTTTGTGTTGATCGCATTTTTCGGTATTCAAAACGCTTCCAGTCCGTTTTTGTCCCCTTTTCTCAATATTTCGTCTTCGTTTCCTCTCGACTTTTATGGACACTTTATAATGTTTCTTTTTAATTTTTTCACATTAATCTTGCTAAATTTTATCCATTTTGCTAACGGGCACAGTACTGTTGCTGTGCAGGAAATCGAAGATTCAACCTTGCCAGTGGGACAACAAATCCCCTGTATGATTCGTTCATTCTTTTCTATAGTAAATTTTTACTATCATATGTCAGGGAGTTAAATCGCCCATTAACTTGCTTTTATATAACTCTCGAAAGAAGGCACTATCGAAATTACTCTAAGCATGTGCTGCTACTCATACTTCTTCCGAGTGCTTCCGTCTCTCATAGAAAGCGAATACGAAGGGATTTGGCAGTTTATTGGTTCCCGTTGTTCTAAATTTCTTCATTTTTATGCAGATTCGAATTTTCAAGTAGAATGGTTTGGATTTTCGTAAAAAGTTGGGAAATTTGGCTTGTTTCGTAGACTTTTTTGGCCATAAAAGAGAAACGTTTCGAAATATCCACTTCGCTTATGTGCATGACAGTTGAAGGTGCAGAATGTTGAATTCCAACTTCAGCTTTATTTGTGTAACAGTACCAAGATTCCAAGACTTCTCGGGATATTAGTGTGGGTTTCCTTGCTAATGAAGTTATAGTCTATGAAAATCCGTAAATACAAGAGAGCAGCAAGCGAGAATGTGAAAAATAAAAAGCAATATACTCTCGTCATACGCTCGCCTCATCTGCTTTCTGTACAGCTTCTTTCACAAATGCAGGTTTTTCCTTTTTGGATTTGATCTCTTACCTCGTATATTAACCTGTGATAATGCATCAACAAATAAGTAATTAACATATAATTGCCGTCCTTCTATGTTCTTCTGTTTCGGTCATAAGGTTTTCCTGGATATGATGCTTTTCTGGATTTATTGAGAATGTCTGTATCTCGCTCAGCTTATTTCCTATTGGAAAAGTACATTTATAATTTATAAAAGCTAGCTATCACTAGTTATTTTTCATCTTCGTTATTTTTTGGTTTTAACTTTTCTTATTTTTATCTCTAGTTTCTGTAGAAAGGCATCAGACTGATTTGTTGATGATCTTTACTGTGTTGTTCTACTCATCGTTTGCAACCTTTGGTCTGCAGTTTTTCGGGTCGAGCTTTTTCTCATTTTTTTTTAGCTGAAATGTCATGTTTCATTCCACTTCTTCATTGCTTGAAACGCTTCAGTTCCTTCACGAGTTTACTTCCTTCACGATTTTTTTTTTTTTGATTTTTGTCGAATTTGGTATTTTATTTATTGGTACTTATTTAATTTATTTTCACATTGCATACCGCTTATTCACTTGATTACAGCATTATTTAGTCATTTCAATTGCTCAAACAGTTCATGATACGTTTGTACACTTCTACTAATTCTTCCTTGTCTTATTTTAAATTTTTTTGGAGGACTGACTCATGGAGGGAAAAAGGGAACGAAAAGCGTACTGGATTCGGATCAAATGATTTTATTGAAAGTTTTGACTACAAATTTAACCATATGCGTATCTGCATAATTCATGCTTAGGAACGAAAGCGAGGAAGCTGAAATTTTGGGATCGTAGAATGCGCAGAAATGTGAAATTAACATTTCCTGAGCATGCATGTATACTCAAAGCTTTTAATCTAAAAAAATATGCAGCTGGAACACGATATTTGTAACGATCTTTGCAAATCATTTGTAACATTGGCGTTTACATTGCTGCATTATCGCTTAAAATAGTGTCAATTTGCAATCGGCACAATGAATAAATTTTAATTGAAATGTGTTTGTCAAGCGATCGAGTCCAAGAAAAAGTTCGTCTTCACTCATCTGATGGCAGGATAACGTAATTGTTTAGGTTTTTGGGGAGGAAGGGAGCAACCCAGAGGGTAGGCAAGGGAATTAGAACTGAATAGACGTACTTTCGTTGTGTTTTCCGAGAAATTCTATCCAATGGAGCACAACAAAGGCCGGACGAGCTAATCCTCTGCACGAACTGCTCATGCCTGTGCTGAAATTTGTTGAGTTTCTGTATATATCTGTTTCTGGTTGCCAGGCGTTTTCGCTCGCTGTACCCTCAGGCGTTTTCGCTCGCTGTACCCTCAGGACTGATGACTACAGCCATATCTGGATTAAGGCAGCTTCCAGGACGCCCCAGTATTTATTTACAAAATCTCTAGTGCACAGTAGGCTTTTTGAAGCAGGCTTTTTGAAGTCTGATCGTACTGTTGTTCAATCACCGGGGAATCACTGCGAGTCGTATTGCTTATTTGCAGTTCGTTTGAGTTGAATGTTGCCACGACCACTGTGTCCCGCTTCTTCCTCTCGTCTCCTCCTGGATTCCTTCCGCTGTTTCTGCTCAATCCCTCCATTGTGCTTTGAACAAAAATCTCTTGAGTGCGATGCAAAATTCAAACAGTGAGAGTACGAAATAGCAGCTGTTACACTACTCAGCCGGTTGCCTGCCTGCTTGCCTGTTCTTCGCAGCTCACATCGTCGTCCAGAAATGCGTCTGAATGGAGACGCTTGCTTCGCTCGTCAAGTGGATGGATGAATGCATAGCTGCTTTTCGAACTGCCTGTAAACTGATTGCTGCATAACGTGGAGCTGGATCTGCTGCTTAATTATTGCTACTGGATGAATGGAGTGTCAGATGATATTTGCTTTGAACACT